TAAAAGAAATCTTAGATATCACATTATTTTCTGTGAAATAATGCATATATTACAATTAGTATCTTCATAAACATAGAGATAAAATTGAATATTTATTTGCTTCTGCAAAAATAAGCTATATAACATCTCTCTCTCTCTCTCTCTCTCTCTCTCTCTCTCTCTCTCTCTCTCTCCTTGTGTGATATGAAAGTCGATGTTTTTAGCATGCTCATTGATGTGCCTTGCTAGTTCGTTGTCATTAACTTGCCTCTAGCTTTGAGCACATATTATTCAGATTTGACCTAGAGTTACGGGGATCGTCACTGACATCGAAGACGCTAACCCTTCCGCACCACTTGTTCCTATGAACTTATTTTCTGTGTAATTTGTTCTTGTATTTTACACACTATTTAACAGGAGCACGGAATAGCATCCCGTCATTGTATTCCTACCTCCCATAAACGTTGCAGACTATGGTGTGTGCGCAAAACACACCAATAATAGCATGTCACTATACGTTTGTTAGTAAAACAAGTGGACATAGTGATTACCTGTGATTTAGTTTATGTGTTAGACGAACGTCTTCTTTTGGAAACCTGGTATACATGTTTTTGCTTAAAAAGAGAAAACGTGATGCTCCGATGACCACCGATGACACAGAGGTAGTTGTGAACGTTAATTTATAGCTTTACATATTACGATGCTGTGTTAAAAATAATATAATCTGATGTGGTCTGCAATGGGTGGTGTAAAATAAATCTGCATTATCATTCTACGGACAGTCACTAAGATTTCTGTTGATTTTATGAATGACATTCTTTCTTGTTTTATTTTGACCACATCTGACCACAAACTATACGTATATATATCGGTCAAGCGTAGGCAACGCTTACAGACAGAGTTCAGGTGAATGTCTGATTGGAGGCGAAGAGGTTTGAAGTGATGCTACAGCGATGATTAGGGTCACGGTGTCAGGCGGGTACCGAGGACTAGTGGACACCTCCTATTCACGCTGTTGCCTAAACAATGTTGTTTGTTTCGGTAATCCATCCACAGGCGAGTGTCGGAGGTCGGCTAATAGGTGTGATTCATCTGTACTTTACGAGGACCAGTGGATTAGACGTCTGTTTAGTATGCCGTGCTGGATTCTGGACAGATAAATTAATTTTGTTTTCTAAACAGAAGTCTACGTGTGCTTCTTTCCTAAGTTTCCATTGCTATGTTTGAAAACTACCTCGCTCCAACATATGCATGATAAGGTATAACCCTTGATTTAGGTCTAGGCAGGAGTTGTGGCTCTCATACCACTAATGGTGATAATTTTCACTGGGTATTGATACATGCGACACATTTCTTGGTGTTTTGGTATCACATTGGACACATTTTTTGGTATATCCCCGAATTCTGTTATTTGTTAATTGCTATCTCAGTGTTGGTATAGTGTTCCTATATCTGCTAGGCAAGAATTGTTAAATGAAAATGAACGTGACGATCACATTAAATTTATGACAGTATTGGGTCAATCTCATTAAAATCAGATGTTAATAAAAAAATACCTACGGTATGCGGTACGTGATAATGAACAGCTGTATTTATTCAGATTGGTATTGGGTAAGCTTGATGTCATAAACGGCCAACATTTATCAAATTACTACGGATAATCACAAGCTGTTAAGCAGCTGATCAAGCTGTTTCGCCGCACTTTTATAATGCAATTCTGTGGTTTGACAGCCAATCGTGACGTTTCTGTTCATATGTAGTACATGTAAGCTTTAAGCCGGAGTTTTTTGCGTGGTCGCACGATTCCTAATATACACACATTACAGAATATCTAGTTAGAAATTTAGCAGTATTCCTCTAAATTGTATAAGTCATAAATTCAGGTGTTTAACGCCCGTCATCTTGTTTAAATTGTAGTCTAGACAATTTGGATTATCTATTTAGATGTTTTCTTACTTCGTTACTCTAATGAGTGTCCTGTTGCCGTCAATCTTCGTACGTCATCGTGTGTCGTGCTCATAACCATGTCATATTTTCGCCTTCTTCGATTCTTAATGAACGAAAAAACCTTCAGATTAGAAATATTTGGCCAGTATAGCCTGATGGTTGGAGAGCTTCCAGGCTGGTTCATATGAATGGCATTGGCCCACTTTTAACGTTACATTAGGTTTGATATGTTAAAAACGTCTACATATCCATAAAAGCTACATTGATTTTTTACGCTAACCGGAATTAATGACGTTTATCAAACAGGCGTAGTACGAAGTAAACGTGAAGCCACGTAGCATTTGAATTTAATAAGAATGGGTTATCAAATATTTTCAATAAAAAACCCTTTCCTACATTCGAGGTCATATTGGTCAAATTAATTTCAAAATTAGTGGTATTGTGTAAGTAGTGGTATTGTTTAGACAGCATTTAAGGATAGTACGCTGTTATAAATTTGACTACATAAATGATCTTACCTCACTTTGAAGGCCACAAACCAAATATTGAAACGGGTTCCTGCTTAACAACGTATCATTTAATGAACCAATTCATTACTATTTGATTACTAACTTGTGGGACTTGGTTTCTTGTGTTTTGACGAGTTCCTCTCTCCGATAGGCCTTTCAAAAACAGTGTTAAAAAACGTAGCCTAGCGATGAGAAGTGGTACTAAGGCAGGCAATCCAGTGCAAGGATTGATCTACTTAAAATCTCATGGTTGTCAGCTATTACTTTGCCTTTACGTGCTTAGTCAATATAAACATCCACATTCATACCTATTACTCCAATCATACATACATATAACATGACACAGCATTACGTATAATGGGCCCAAACTACGACCCTGCATTGAAGACGTGTAAATGCATGGTGTATCTTTGGGTGACTTATTGCCATCCATTCCTGTTCTCCTTGGTAAATGAACATTTTTCGACTCTATAATAATATTTTAGCTGAAGACGCTAACCCTTTAGGAACGCCTGACCTTAATCCCCTTATACTTTTTCAAGGGTTCCAATATAAATATTTTCTTTCATCTTAATTTGCCCTTGGTTTCCCGATTCTGAGTTCAGACTACATTTTTGCTGACATTTATTTTTGTTTTATTGGGTAAGGTAAACGCACATCGGTGAAAATAAAGGGTTTGACCATGCAAGGCCATTGGAAAGAGGCTGATAATAGGGAAAGTGTACAACTCTTCAAGTATCTTCTTCACCATGTCACAAAAACGCTATGAAAAAATACCCTTTGTGGAATTAAAGGTCCGCGAGTCGATGACTTATCAAAATGATGAATTTCCTTTTAGACGGGATGTTTGTTTTGTCGGTGCGGAAAGGTGAAGTTTGCTATTATTATATAGGAAAAATGACATTTTCGATTTCTTCTAAAGATTTACTGAGGTGACCGCTAAGACTCATGGACATTTTTGATTTGCTTAATCGCTTCATATTGATTCTTTGTCGCTAATGATGTCTTCCTTTTTGTTTTGATGTCTCCTCGGTTTGTTGATGTAATTGTCTGCTGATACAACAGATACAGATGTGTCTAAACATTTTCATCATGTTGGTTAGTATGGATTATGAAAAGTTTCTTGCTACCCAATCACAACACTTAATGGTTGTGTAACAAGAAACTTTTCATACTAGATACAGATGTGGTAATCCTGGAAATAGAAATTAAATGTACGGAAGGTCGGGGAACCAACAAACCGAGGAGAACGTTTTATAACAAATTGTCTGAAGGTTTTGTGCTTTTGTCATAAAATGTTGCATCTTACGTTGTCCACGGTATGCCATCATTATAATTAAAGATGCATCTTTCTTACCACATATATGTAACTACTCTAACCTTTCCCTATAGATCACCTGTCTCTAGTAACCAAGTCTATAATTAGTCAAACCAGCCTTAGAGATCACCTTTCTGTAGTGACTACAAGTCTATAATTAGTCAAACCTGCCTTAGAGATCACCTTTCTTTAGCGACCACATGTCTATAACTACTCAAATTTCTTTAGAGATCACCTGTCTGTAGTGACCACAAGTATATAATTAGTCAAACCTGCCTTAGAGATCACCTTTCTTTAGCGACCACGTGTCTATAACTACTCAAATTTTCTTTAGAGATCACCTGTCTGTAGTGACCACTAGTCTATAATTAGCCAATCCTGCCTTAGAGATCACCTGTCTGTAGTGACCACAAGGCTATAATTAGTCAAACCTGCCTTAGATGATCCACAAGTCTATAATTAGTCAAACCTGCCTTAGAGATCACCTGTCTGTAGTGACCACAAGGCTATAATTAGTCAAACCTGCCTTAGATGATCCACAAGTCTATAATTATTCAAACCGACCTTAGAGATCATCTGTCTAGTTACTACAAGTCTATAATGAGTCAAACCTGCCTTAGAGATCACCGGTCTGTAGTGACCACTAGTCTATAATGAGTCAAACCTGCCTTAGAGATCACCGGTCTGTAGTGACCATGTGTCTGTTTTTACCACTAGTCTTGCCTTAGATATCATACCTTCCTTAGATATATATCATACTTGTTTTAGATATCATACTTGCCTTAGATATCATACTTGTTTTAGATATCATACTTGTATTAGCTGCCACAGTTGTGATTTGGTCAACACCAGTAACCCACATTTTGGATCTGCTCTGTAACCAGCAATGTCCTTTAGCATATAAGCTGATTGCAATATCAACCATTTGTCTATTAAGACATGTTTTACTTTTACAATGGGGTGGTCTTCATTTACATGTTTGACCGTCATATAGACAATTCTAATAATGTTACAACTTAGTTGTTACTCAGGGACTTAATACAATTCTCAGGTCTCCTGAGGCCAGATCTCCCCCACTTTTTTGTCAAGTGGAATTTGCTTCCTAATTCTGCAAAACTCTTGATACGCTTATAATTATGATGCTCTGGTCTCTTCTTCATCAGATTCAATACGGTATTGCAGAAAAAGAGAAGCAAGTATATATGTATAAATAATAAGATGAAAAAAAGACAATGAGATATAATTTCTTTTGATTATTTTTAATTTTACATTAAGTTGTACATGGTAAAATGATAACACTTGACTTGTACCACAAGTTGAATACTGAGTGGGACTTCCCAGTCCCCACGTTTTACCCCCAGCCCTCACCGGGACCCTATAGTAATAGGGAGTATAAGCACCTGAATAACACCTGTACTTGGTACAGGCTTCAACACAAAACATACACAACCGATACAAAAACCACACTGGCACTTAGTCATTGATTAATTCAACAATTTAACAATGTTTGCTTGATCTGTTTGCCCTATTATGACAAGAGTTTACATATGTCTATCAAAAATTGATCAATTTTTAACCACTTAACTGGTACAATATTTATGGGATTCGGTAGAAGTGGAATTTTTTGCATGTGGAAATGTTCACGTTGTGACCCTTAAAACTGATCACAGTGTGGAAACTACCATGTTGGCAATAGTACTGAAATTCATATATTCTATTTCTCTATAATCTACATAATCTATAAATAAATATTTGAGTGTGGGCATTTCCACACCTAGAAAATTTCCACTTTTACAGAGAAGTAATTTAACTATTTTCTGAACAATTTCTCTCCTGGTATGAGCTAAAAAGTAACTCAACTACTTAGAAAAGAAGGAGCGGGACATTTATCTCTATCTAAACAACAGGCAAACTGATCAGTAAAATGAAGAGCTATTCAAATCTGGCATTTGATTCAATGGCATTTCACCTATGTTTAAAAAGAAAGATAATTATTTGTTTAAAAGATTTTGTTGTTGGTATTTCTACATTTGTAAAATGATATAGTTTCATCTTCTTTTGACAGCTTATATTACAGCACATATTTAGTACTGGACTAGTCATAGACTTGCTCAAGTCCAATTTTTGTCAAAACATTTGTTACTGGTTGATTATATTTTTCATTTTATGCCACGTTCAATTATACTTAATGGCAAACAATGTATTTCTTAAAGATGACTGATTAATTCTTAACATTAGAAAATGTAATTTTATTATATTATTATGATTTATCACAATTTAAATTCTAATTAAAAAACATGAAAAATCATGAATTTAACATCTAAGAATGGGCTTGAGCAAGTCTAACTACTCGAAGGAAAATTCAAAGCAAACATAAACTTGATCTAAAATTTCCTAATAGATATAGAATTATAAGAAACGTTGATAAAAACCATATAATAGGTATGTAGCTGTTATTGGATTTCTTCATCCCTCCTTAATGGTTTCAAATAACATCATGCAAAACCACCATCAGTTTCATGTGGGTATATTTATCGAACCCGAAATCTACGAGATCTTCAATAGATTTTAGGGGTAATAATTTAGTGTCTGAGCAACAAGAAACATGTCTGTATTTTCTTAACAAAAACAAGATGTACATACTATGTATTTAGGTAATATGCATAGTACACAAGGTTTACGATTAATGTGGGGTTACATGGGAGTAATGAACAACAGCCGGTATGACCAACGGCGGATATATGACAATGGCCGATAAACAACAACGGCCATGCTGAAGACAACACAACAATAAATAATAGAGGTATTGATTAATGGTATATGTACACTGAAACTGAAAGACTTAAGTAATCAAATATTTGTAATCATATTGAACAGTTCATAGTTTTCTCAAAAACAAATTTGAGATGAGCAAGATTTCTCGATGTGTTCCTCCTAGTACGAAACGTAATAGCTATGTTGTCAAGGAGATTTCTCTGGCTTTCCTTCACAGCAGAATCGGTAAACATTTGAGCAACGTATCTACTTTTTGAAATATCACAAACAAGCTGTTACCATCATTTCTGGAGAATTTCTGGCTAAAAACAGATTCCACTGAAACTACACATTTGGTAGCAGATCGGTAAATAGTGTCTGTCTGATCGAAATTAGTTATATATGTAAATTAATGCAACCAATATTTTGAAACCTCATGTAATTTGCACAGCTTTTTTGGACAAAATTAATTTCAAAAGAAATTGAATAATATATAAAAGTTCAAATCATTCTCTATACCTTATAATATCTGTAACTTTCAAAAATTCAGTCACGAAACATATTTCCCAAAGATACTTTAGAAATAGTTCTACCTACTTGGTTTTTGGTCATTTTCTTCATTTTGTGCAATTTTCAAACATGGACAATTTACACGGTTTCATTAATAGTACTTCAGGAATATTGATAAACCCTAATCATATTTCATATTGATTTTCATTTTACAACTTGTTTGCTACTGTACAAGGCAAGATATGGATAAAGAAACGTAACAGTAATCTCAAATTAGTGCTTTATCAATGTATGCAATTAATATTTTCATTTCGCATTTAAATTAATGAAGCCAATAATTACTGGAATAGCTTTCAAACTAAAAAAAGTCAAAATCAATGTCTTAATCTTAATTTGTAAACTGAATATTTTGTGTGCAAAGATCATTTAGCTGACTCATTAATGCATCTTTGGCAACGTAATTTCTTCTATGAGATTCTCATTTGTTTTTCGAACAAGTTGATTGTAGATGGCAATCCACATGGGTAAGTCTTGATTGTGAATTTAACAGGAACTAGACGACAATAGCATGTCAGAATGGATTCCCGACGAATAAGTTCCCGAATCTTGAACCAGTGAATCAGTCACACTGCTGGTTTGTTTCCATATCACAGCAGACCTTCTGTTTGTATCAGAGATCTAAATCCTTCACAACATAGTCAACAAAAGCTCTTCATCTGTATTCAAAATTGTCCAATCAGATGAAAGAATATTGCTGGTGTCAGCTGCGACAAGGTTCTGCCCCAACTGCCACACCGTGACCACTTCGGCCACATGTCATGTTCGTAATTTCTGTCCACTCGTTCTTGTCTGGATCATAACACTCAACTGATGACAGGAAATCGTTACCGTCATATCCACCTAAAATAGAAAACGGGCAGTGTTAAATTCAGTTTAAAACACATTTTACATTTTTAAATACCAAAACTGACATTGTCAGTTCCTCTTAGTTTGAGAATAACCCAAATTATCTTATTAACAATCTGGACGATTCGCCCGCTTTGTTTTATACGTAAACGAATAAGTTTATCATTTGCCAGTTGATACAAACAAACCACTATATATTTACATTGCACAAATATCTATAAAATCTGTACCTGTATCTTCTCTTTATTGAAAGATTCAAGAGCAGTATGTTTGTGTGTATTTTTCCTGGTAGTTTGGCTGATTGGATGACTTACCTAGAGCGTACAGTTTGCCCCCCAGCACGGCTACACTGAGTGCACTACGGGGACTTCTCATGTTGGCGACAAACTCCCACTGATTGGACATTGTGCAGTAACGCTCCACCGTCCTGAGCTGGCAGTTGCTGTCGTAACCCCCGACAGCGTAAACATGGCAATCCATTCCAATAATACCTGCAGCACATAATACAAAACTTTCATTAGAGTTTAGAAATTTGTACGAGATCTTTTTGAAAAAGATCGAGAACTGAAAGCTTTCAGAAATTATGTCAAAAAAGGCCAGTAACTCAGTCACTTGCTCCCTATGTATCTAAATATAGTTATTAATCAAATTTGTTTGTTATCCTTCACAAGGAAACCGATCATGGTTCTTAATATATCTATATATAGGCAAAACATTAATGATAAATCAGACTGTTTTGTAATGCAAGTAAAATACTTGTGCGCTTTTTGTGTGTGATAAACTATGGGTAAGTTTGGTCCAAGAGATGATTTTGTATAGAATGTGTTTTGATGATTAGGAGCTTGATATTGAAGAAATGAGAAATGTCAGCAAACGTACCAGTAGGTGATAGTTGTTGTGAGATCAAAACCACACATGACTAAAGCTTACAGTTATTTTAGTAAAGTACTAATATACAAATACACAAACTATAAGGCTGTTTAATGCTGTATGATTTGTCACCGGTAAATACGACACTTCCGGAGATTCCTTACAATATGAATCTACTATTATAAATGAAAATGCCTTTTCCGCTACCTTCACACAACTTACCAGCACCACTGCGTGTTGTGTTCATAGAAGCCACAAATTTCCACTCGTCCTTTTCAGGGTCGTAACATTCCATGCTCCGTAGCCGATTTGTGCCATCATAGCCCCCGACTGCATACATGAGCCTGTTGACGACGGCCACTCCCACACCGATCCTCTTAGATCCCATGGAAGCCACCATTGTCCACCGATCATGGTCAGGATCGTACCTGCGAATTATATAAAATATATTTAGTTAACTACAGTCCAACATACATGTATATGAACAAATCCACATGTCTTCATCACACCTTACACATAGCTGAAGTTTTTGTGACAAATGCATCTATTACGACACAGAGTTCACTAGTTTTCTGCAGTGTCAGAGAAAGTTACGTGTGCTACTGCTTCTATTACATACAGGTATCAACAATTGTTCTTTATAGGTGTGCACTATATTTCATGCAAAATATTTTTCATCACTAGCCTGTATTATGTTTGATTTTGCTTCCTGAAAACATGAACTGCACAGGAATAGTAGAAAAAATTGTATTGAGGACGGAATAATGATGTCACGTAAAATACACCATAAAGCGAGACTTAAGTATTTTCGGAGCCCTCCTTTGTTTCAATCCACTAATTTTTATCAGTGGATTAACGACTAATAAGTTTCCATCAAAAATGAGTTCTAGCTTTTTTGGTAATACAACATCTTGTATTATCATAGTGTAAATTACAGAACGTTGTATAGCATGGCCTGAAAACAGGCTTTTTCACTATGAAGTAATACATACAGGAAGGCTACTGTCTAAAAAGATATGGTTATATAGAATCAGTAAAGGTAGTTTTGTAGTTTTGTTAAATGACCATTATTGGTCGTTTTATTAAATGACCTTTATCAAGGAAACTGGATTGTATTAAATGCTTTTTTTTATTCTTTAATTGCACTGGTCAGTATATATCAATTATGAGATTTTCCTTGTCCTTCATACTTCACACTATTTTTCATAGGCAAAGAATAAAAAAAAAATCAATCGAAGATCCTGAAGGCAGATACAAGAAATAATTAACGTAGCAAAAATTTAGTTAATTAATAATAACTAAGGCTAAGAATTGAAACCCCTTTGTCATTGTGGGTATACCCGATACACGAGTATAGTGTTGTCTGTCTGATAAGGAATAACAGCCAGCGACCATTCCACACACAGACAAAGGCCGATCGTGGCCAACAAAACACTGGTCTAGTAAGATACTGTCCTTTGTCCAGGTGGACAACGACTTGTTAAAGGTATGTAATAAAACAATAATCAATACAGGTAAATTGTCAATATACGCCGATAATATCTACCTGGTGTGTGTGTATTCAGCGGGCGGCTTTCGTGACTAAAGTATGAACTAGTGGCTATCAGCTACCGTAAATTCATATTAGACATGCAGATTAAGTCTTTTCATAAATTCAGAATGACTCTGCAGTTTTTTTTCCCACCCCCCTCTAGTGCACGACATCAGCGATAATCCTATCCCAACCCTTCCTCTGCGACATTCCGTACTACACCCTACTCCACAAACCTGTCATGTATGCTCTTATAGCTGTCATAAACATAACATAAAATTATAGTGGCACATTGCTTCAGACCATTTACGACAATTTTCCTTGACCATTTTTACACCTTTTATTTTAGATCTTTAATTTTTACACTATTTTTCTTTATAGTTATATATATATAAAAAAAGAAGTTACTTTTTGTCACACAATCAAGGAAAGAAATGGAGAATATAGAATTTCTTCTCTTTAGATAAAGGATACTTAATGCAATTAAAAATTTGTATTGGTTGATTTCAACTGCAGTTTCAGAAAAAAATCCAAAATATTTCAGATATCCACAAAACGGCGCAATATGCAATATCAAAGATATACTGACTTGCTAAGTTTCATAAAAAAAATTGCCTGATAATTTGAATCTATAAAAAACATAATATAATAGTTTCATTTCTAGTACGAGTAATTCATCACATTGGCCTTAATGATATCTTATATCGAAGTCAACCTTATACCTTTTTTTTAAATTTATATATTAAAAAAAATAACAAGGGAAAACACTATGTTGTACACAAGCTATATAAAAAAGGTTGCTTTCATTGCTGTCGGGTAATGTGATATAAAATAGTTTAAAACGAGTAATATTTCAGGTCGTTTTGATAAACATTACCCTTTCAATTCGTCACACATGGCAGAGCACTTCAAATTATAGCAAAATTATCCGGTTTGGTTATTGTACAAGTTCTCGAGAAGTCTACACTCAGACTGCATTACCCGAGATTTATATTGCATATTATGTATATACCCCGCCACAAGTCGGGTGGTTTGGATATTATACAAACACTCGCAAAGTCAACCCTTACCCTACATTACCGATGATTTATATGTTCCCTATCATATCCCCACCACATGTCTGGTAATTAAACATCTTATGTTCGAAAATTAAAGTACACATGAGAAAGTGTTGCTGTGACCTGTTGATGTCTGTTATGGGTAGTTTATTTCTTGAGAGTTTTCAATGAGTCTTGCAAGTCTGAGAAAAATAATCTTCTAGATCTACTTCCTTGAGGCTCCACAACCCATGACAAAAACATAAGGTTGAGAGGCCTGCCATTTCACAAGCCTTTAAAAGGTATTTTCCTTTAAAGTTAATATCATTTCCTCCTACCTTGTATATTCGTACAAAGACAATTAAAGAATGCATATGCCTTTTTTATTCCCTAGTTTGAAAATTTTGAAATTATTCCCAGTAATGTTGCAGAAAAGAAGAAATGCTCAACGACAATGGCACAAATCAATTACTGAGGAACAAATTTCTGCAAAGATTACAAACAAGCTTCGCTTCATTGACCGGTTGGCTATTCCGAGAATGATGTGTTAAGAGCTTGTTATCCTTTCAAAGTTTCACTTGACCGATTTGGGTCAGTCTCGAGAAACAAAAGTCTGTTTCACCTGATTGATCTGAGCCAGTATATGTTTATAGATAGAGATGAGCAGTTTGAGGACAATCATGTATTATATCAAAGAATTTCTTCTAAGGGTCCTGTACATTTACCTCTAGTATTGTCCTAATAACAAATAGTTAAAAAAACAATGGAAAAAGGGGTAGTAGCCAGAAATAAAACATGTTTCTACTTCCTACGTTACATATTTTATCAGTAAGAACACTATACCCTGTACATCATAATAGCATTTTAAAAACTGAAATAAATTGTGAAAAAAATTAATCTTTTGAACAGTTTTGTAATTTATCCAAGGAAATTAAACTTCATAAATAAAATGGAACTTGAAACCTTTACATCTGTAAAAAAAAAATGTTTTCAAAGCTGATGTCATCTGGAATTTCCCAGGTTACACCTGGAAGTGTACCTAGCCCCTATGTCCGCCTGTCATTTCCTCCCAAGATCATTTCTTGTTACTGCTGAATCCAACACTGATAGCATTAAATGTAGATTTTGCATGAACAATGAAAGTGAAACTGAATCTCTAGCTACCCCTACCAAGTTTTATACAGATCTATGGGTGGTGGTTTGGGTAACTCTATGTACAGGTATACATAGCTTCAGTGTCTTGCTAAACCTTAATGTCCTTTGGCAAGGACATGCATTGTCTCTTACAAGGGTATATGCTCACTCTCCAAACTACCAGCTCTCTCTCTCTCTCTCTCGCTTATATTTTGGGGGTCAAGGTTTAAAACTGTTTCACCAGACAACTCAAACATTTAAATCCAACTTACTGGGTACAAATTTCTGACAAGTTGCATAAGCCTTAGAATAACATTGGATTGCAGTCACTCCCTTTTCGTTACACATTCCTGTAATGCATGGCTGTACCTCAGGTTTTCTTCCTATCGTGTTTATCAATGATAACGGATCGTGATAAATGCCATTAATATTTCTTCCTAAACGATGAGTAAAACGGTTTGCACTTACTTGGGCACTTCCTTATTTATAACATGTGTTTACACAGCTATCAAAGATAACTGTAAACATCTGAAAACCTTTTTTTTTTTACCTAACAACGTACTTGACTTGGAAAACAAAGCTGACTACACACTGGGAGCTGAAATTGATCAGGTTTTCCCGATTGTAAGTGCTCCTTATCTACCTGTTTTCTGTTGTCTCTTTTATCAGTATCTAACTTTACACAGTTCCTTGTGGTTATTTTATTATTTGTCCTTGTCGAGGTACCCTGAATCTAAAAACAAGTTTCTTCTATTACTGCCTAACTTTCAATAGTTTTTCATCCAATGTCATATCCTCCTTCCCAAACCTAGGAACTGGTTTCTCTGGTAACCTTTGAATGCCCTCACCTAGGACCAGGTTTCGTCTATCAGGACCTACCTTTCTACAGTACTGATTTGCTGTTGATCTAGCTGTAGGAACCGAAGCTTCTAGGTCAGATCAATGAAATTTTATTTTGAGATTTTTATGTTTTATTCAAAAGTTTTACATTATTGGACTATAGATTCAAAATGAAATTAAACGATCTGAACGAGAAGCTACTGTTCCCACAGCTTTGGTTGACCATGTAACCATCCAGGTTCTCCGTATTAGGAAACAAGTTTATCCTATCAGGACCTACCTTTCCACAGTGCTGTGATGCTGCTGTCCCTGCGAACCACCGACTGCATATATCATGTTGTCGATCACACTGACGCCAACACGGTTACGGGGAACGGCCATCGGACACTTTGAAAACCACATGTTTCTGATAGGATCGAACACATCCATTGAATTGGAGTCCATGTTTCCATCTGGGGAATTGTTTCTACCCCCCACGGCATAAAAAGCCCCTTTGACAAGACAAGCACACAACCCACTCCGGGGTGTGGGAAGGTCTGGCAGACGAGTCCACTGTTTTGTACATGGATTGTAGCATTCAAAATTACTAAGAGACTGTCTTAAGTATCCGCCTGCTGTAAAAACAACTAAGGGAGAACAAGGTTTCCTTGGTTTCTCTGGACAACTCTGGTGAAGCTTCAAACCCTGGAAGATCTTTGACAAATATTCCTGGCACTGGGGCATTTTCTTTAAAATTGTACATGAAGTTAATTGTTTTTCAAGAAAATGCGGTGACAGAAAATGGCACCTGACCGCATACAATAGTCCTTCTAACTTACAGAGTCTTTTCTCCACATCATGTTGCACCCACCGTATCACAGCATTGAAAATCTCAGACTCACAATTAATGTTCAGCTCATCGTGCTTAATTAGGTTGATCAGCTGACATGGATTAAGCATTAGAAACTCGTCACATTTTATCACTTCAGAAAAGTTTCTGTATATAAATTCCCTGGCTTTGGTTTCCAGCTCCAGACAGCCATGCTCACTGGCAAAGTCTGAGATACCAATGCAGTTACTACAGTCGAGTTGATGCTCAAGGAACACACTACAAGCCTCTACTATATGATTCATTTGGAACATGGTCGCTGCAGGTAATAAGTAACACACATTCATTTCGTTAACTCGAACTTCGGCTGTGTAAGCAAAGTCTATAAGAACACTAAGTGTGCACGGTGATATTCCGTGTAGTGGGATGGTAGACATCTCTTCCTCGCGCATACCACCCGTAAACATTGCACGGAAATACGGACTAGCCGCAGCTAGTATTATCTTGTGTGCAAGGAATTTTTCCTCGCCTACAACTAACGTCACATCACATAATTTCGTCAAACGACGTAAAGTACTCATTACATCTAAAGCCTCTTTTGGATGCTTCATGATAGTGAAGTGCATGCTGCCATCGGTCGGTTTCTCGGTGGTGACCGGCCGAGGTCGATAACACGATGTCATCGCCTTTTCAATCTTTTTCTCATACACTTCCTGGGCAGACATCTTGGCTGTTTTGCGTTTCACAGGTGAAATATTTACCTTGGAACGTCAGTTCTGATGTTTGAGTGTTGCAAGACATATGTACTGTTGTACCTGAAAAGATACAAAGAAAAACAAGGATGAATATCAACTTCCACAAACCAAGGAATATACAAGAAAATAAAGATAAGACTACAAACTCAGGAACCTACATATGTATAAAAGACAAAAATAAAGAAAGGTATCACTACATACCTGTAAAACAACAATAAGCATTAGTAACCAACTACATCTACATATACTTATTACACCTACATACCTAATTTACATATACAGATACACCTTTATATAACGCCCCTCGTTTCATTCGCCGGCTTGTTTACCGCCAACATATTTCAATGTCCTTTTTTCTCGTTTCATTAAGAATTCCTTGATACATTTCCCTGAATTTATCACCAAACCCCTTTATAATGCCAATGTTTCTCTTAGACAAACGGTGGCAGTATAACAAGTTTATACTGTACAACTGTACTAAGTAACAGAACTTACTATATATAACATTGTAGAAAGAACTCTGACAGACCACCGACCTCCATTCAGTGAGACGAAGCCTGTATGGGTGGAGTCATCTGGGCTATAAACCCGTCAACTAACTACCTAACTGAATAGGAAGTCCAACAGACAACCTCCTATGCAGGACAGTCTACTCATCATTTCATTTTATTTTTCATTTTACTGCTATTTTTCCTCTTTTATCATATTTTTTTTATCAGCACTTTTTTTTGAAAAATTGTATAATAACAATGATTCTCAATGTATCACCAACAGAAATGATGGAGGATGAAAGGGATGAGAATTATCATATAAAAGGTAAACATGAGGGAAAAACATTTTATTATTCACTAATAAAATCTAATTTGTTACATTTCAGTTTGAATATTAATATTATTAATATTCATTAACACTGAAAAAATATCCAATCAAATATCACTGTAATGTTTATTGCATTCGTTTTCTTTTCTAACTGTTAGTTTTTCAAATTTCTAGTTTCCCATCATAAAGGAAAAAAATATTAATATCATTTGAATTGATTTCTATATTCAAGATTCAATTTACAGCTGTGCTACCAAAAAACTTGTGAACTTTATTTCTCATTTTTATAACTATGGCCATATTTAGTACATTTATCATTTACTTAATACTTGTTAAAACCTGAAATACATTGTATGAGTGTGAATTAGAATGTTCAATAATTCATCGCTCTTAATGTCACTATCTTTGTTCAGAGTTCCACCTAGAAAAAATTAAGGATAGGTAAGAAATTGCTTATATTATACACTCCTTTTTTTTAAAACAGATTTAAGATTGTTTTTTGAACTCAAATAAAAACAAAATCAACTTACAAGAGCTTGTCTTAAACTCGGTATAAATTCTCTAGGTGTGGCATTAAAAATTAAGGTAATTAGCTTTAAGTAGAACATTTTAGATTGGCCAAACACCGATTTATTTCAATATAGACACATGTTAGTACTGGGAGTTCTCTCAGTGTTTATTGAGCTCGAAGTTTCAATTTACAAGAGTTTGTCTCAAATTTGGTCTACATTAATTTTCTAGGTGTGGCATTAAAAATGAAGGTATTTAGCTATAAGGTAACTCTAAGTAGACATATTTCATATGGCCTAACACAGATTTATCTTGATATAGACCCACAAGTAAGAACAAGGGAGTTGCTAAGATGGATGACGAGGATAAATCAATTTATTATCTTAAAGAATGAGTTTATTGTCTGTTTAGTTCACATTTCAAACACGACTTTGTTACAGGATGCCAGGAGTGTTGATTGAATCCTGACAGAAATAAACATAAGTGTAAGAACATTGACAGGTTGAAGACCAGATGGCACCTGATGAGGCAGAAAGATACAATACACATAACACAGTTGTTAATCAGAATTTGTCACAAGTCGTTACCCTGAGATTTATGTAATATTGGAAAATGGGTCAAAATGAATAATTTTAGCCACTTTGAAAGTTTCACAAGTGACTGAAAATTTCACTCGAAGGGCATGTAGCTGGGGTTAATTTGATGTGTAGGCTAAATTTAAGAGAGTGGTTTGGGGTCTGCCTAGTCCTCCAGCCTGTCCAGGGCAGAGCCATGGTATGGGGGGACTCAGGGGGGTACCCTCTACCCGAGAACAGAAAATACATATACAGTCTATTCTGGTCTATGCAAGAGAATGAACAAGTGAGTGTGAAAATTACTATTGTAAGATATTTTGTAATGCTGAAAACCTTTCAAAAAATAAAATTACAAGAAAAAAAGGAAAAAAGAAATGAAACCTATTATCTTATGATGAATTCTAAAAGGTACATGAAGGGATTTAAATATCTTTTTTTTTTAAATAATTTGTTACATTTGAAGTTTTGTTGACAATTTCATAAGACCCACTATCATGATCTGTCGGTGGTAAATACCTGATTTAGTATACAGAGCTATCTGTAACTCAATGATTCTGTTAAGATCCAAGGGCTACATGCATGGTGAGAACACTACAGGAATATTACCAAGTATAAGCCTGGATTTTCTTACGCCTTTCAGACACAATAGCCTGTGAAATCTACCCTCATATTTCTAACAGTCATGTGACCACTTTACCATCAATACACATTGTGTACGAATGAGCTTGCAGATTTGGTCAAATTTGAAAAAAATAAATAAAAAAAATATGATACTAATATAGTAGTTTATTTAAAACGCTTTGTTCTGCTTTATAATATCCGTAATAAATCGTTATGTGTATATCTTGTGACAAATCAACCCAGCAGTGACGAAGGACTGAGGGTGCCAAGGACTGTCATAACAATGTTGGGGAACTAGGACCTGAATATGAGCCCACCTCTCCCCAAACTGCGGTGGTATTATAATGATTCATTTCAGAGTTCAGTGATCCCATTATATAAAAGCTAACTTGGCAGTATGATTCTGTCATAATGTTGTCAAAATAAAAATTCATACAGAACCAATCTATACCAATACCTACACCGTCCAAACCACTCAAAACATTGGGTGATTTGCTTCATCATGTGTCTTTTACAACAATATACACGGCTTCCCTCCAGCTATATATACATACCGGAACAGGGTCTTACAACATCTATGTTAACTATTAATTGGAATATAATTTCAACCACAATCAATATAGGTTTCCTCATCCAAGACTCATTGGATAAACTTGCTAAGAGTTGGTAAACCCTTTTGGTTACACACTACAAATAATGTATTTCCAATGGAAATATTGTTTTCTACATTAAACATGAATGCCATGTGAGAAAAAGTTCAACTTTTTACCCATATACAGTATATTCACTACATATGTATGGGTGGGGAAATTTTGGTATTTTAAAGGGGTTTGATTAATATTGAAAAAGACGTACAAACGTATACAATACAATACAATTACCACTTACCAAGTACAACATTTTCCATGGTATATCCAAACACACTTCCATGTGTAAGGCCATTTTGATTTAGGTAGGAATTAAGAGCAGTCTGGCTAAAATACTAAGACATGGTTTGCACTGCCAGTCTTTTTGAAAGTTTCACATTGGACCAGGGAGAGGCTCCCAGAATGCTGCCTCTATTGATTCATACAAACTATTAAAAATTCTGTAATAATCTCTGATGCTGTTTTAGTCTCACTGACATCTGACAAGTCCATCAGACGGAACAGAAAAAAGAATCAATAATTTGTTAGCTCACTCCACTTTTTTGTTTCCTTTAAATCTGTAATCCATAAAACATGAAATCCTGGTTCGTATGTCAGTATCAATGTGACACAGTCCGAACAGTAATTATGTCAAACAAGACATTACAAGCAATCCATTACAATGCCACACACACAAACTGTCAGTGAACAGTGGTTAAATTCCCGGTAAAACTGTGTGTCCAAGTCCCTACTGTAAGATGGTTTAGTACCGGTATTCCATATATCAGTACCAGTATTACGTCAATCTCGGTACCATTCTTTTAGCTGGTAGAAGTGACGTCCAACACATGCGTGTTGCTGTACAGAACTGTTGAACGAGAGTGGGTTGGTATTTTTCAATATACCTACGTCATGTACCTATGTGTATACACAAACGGCTCAGGTAGGGAATGCTGAGTCACTACCTCGTACAGGTGTATAATACACCTGTTAGCATCTCAGTAGGATATAACAGTAACCATCACGTTTTCACCTGCATCATCATCTATAACCACAAAGGTGTGGAACAATGCTACTTTTCAGTTATTTTGATCTAAAAATACATTTCTTCGATACAGCCATATAACGTCAGAACATGATTGTTATAAAACGATTTTAATCTACAGACTACATTCCATAGGTCAATGTTTCACGGTAAAGACTAGAAACCTGGCATGTTTTTACTTACTTTTTCTCCTGTAAATGTAGATACATAACTGTTCGGTTAATTTGAAACTTGTCTTATAAACTATTGAATTAACCATGTTTTTCTCTCCATAATGATAAATATCAATTAGCGGAAACATCTGTTGTCTATTGTACACTCTGATTTCCAAAAAATACATGAGATACAAATTTTAATTTTGACTGAATTGATTGTGTTTCAGTAGATTCTTCATGGTATCTTTATTGAGTCTAGATTATCAAGTTTCCTCTGTATGTGGAAACACAAGCAGACAGCTGTGAAGAATTATGTCCTTTTTCCACATTTTCACTGAATATTTTACACAGTCATGACAAAGTGACGAAACAATCATTATTCATGACCAGGCGTTCACGATCCTGATGCAGCTTCATATAACACCATGATTAATATTCATTGAACATTATTAGAGCTATTAAACTTAGCTCCTCCTTAAACTTTTTGTCAGGACAGCAAGTCCCGTTGAGGAAGATCTGTCAGTACCATCATATTCGGCTAAACTGTTGTTCAAGGAAGACCATTTCCCTCTTCAATGGAAAGTTTGCTTGTAGTACACTTGCCAGATATATTTGGGAGTTGCTTTTTCCCCCCCAAAGGATATATTGCGGTTATTGTTCCAGAATATGAGTTATTTCTGACACCTTAGAAAACATGAACGATGGAGAAATACTTTTGGCCATGTACATGTATATACTATGTTATTGTAAATATGTGTTGATATGACATTTATTAGAAGCTTAATTTATAAATAGTAACAATCAAAGTCCTTTAAGGGCAAGTCTGAAGATAGTAATATTTTAATTACACAACAACACTGGAAAATAATACACCAGCATTCAACTGACCCAGAAAAAATTAGGGCTGATTCCCTAAACCATTTATGATCCACTGACCTCCTGGCTGGACATGAACAGCCAAATGCCAGGAGTTAATCGCAAATCTGTTAAGTATACACAAATAGATGTAGGGGTATGGAGCCAGCCATGACTCGGCACTTCTCGCTGGCTATACACAGGTACACAATGATATCAGACCTATGTAATCAGGTTATAGCTTGTCAGGCTTTGACATGCAAACCATGGGAGGAGGGACACCTTCCATTGTCTTTATGTCCGCTAGCTCACAATAACCAGGATATGAGGTCTGCAAAATAATCCTTGTGGGTCCTAACGGTTAAACCAGGACATGAGATAGGAAACACGGCATCTTCCTCAACTCAGACGAGAAAAACAATTTATAAAACTTCCTAGTCATTTTGTGGGGAAAAAATGTCTGATGTTTATCTTATGAAGACATTTTTAAAAGGAATTTGATAAAAAAAATCCCTGAAATAAGGGACTGAACAAATATTTGTATAGGAAATGTTTTGCAGAGTACACAAATACTACGGCAGTGTTTTAAGTCCGATACACAACTAAAATATGTGGATAAACATGTTATTGAAAAGTGTATGCTAATATAACATATTTTTGGGCCTTCCGGATGTGGAAATATTTCCATAAATTTATTCAATGGTATCTGAAGCTGTGCATGTCCAGAAGAATTGTGGGAGATAAGTGATGTGTTTATATGTAAACAAGATTTTAATGCATCACCATCATGTCATCTGTGAATGTCACTCATTCCAAATGTCTTTTTCATACATAATTAATGTCCATGTACAAATCACCTGAAGTGTGAACGTGAGTTTGATTTGGGCAATGTCATGCACCTTACCAATACTCCATGGTCATCTGTCTTAAACCGCCTGACTAATCAGTTTCTATAAATCTTAAATGTTTTTAAAGCTGAGAACATGCGAACGTGAGTCCGAGGAAAGCAACGTGAATGCAAAGTCGTGGTTCAGAGAACTAGGTGAAACTTTCTGACTAATCACTTTTTTCCTTTTATATTAGATTGATTCTTCAATACATGATACAGCAAAATTGTAAGCAGTAAAATTGTCAATACGCCAGTGAGAACAATGGACCCAGGCACCGAGTAGTGACCCTGCCCCAGACATGGAAGTATACACACAAACCCTATACACTTCACCTACAATTAGTAAGCGATTTTTTTCTGAGCATGCTCTGTAGAAGGTAAACGTGAGGGCTGGTCTACGGATGAGTAGGCACGACCTTCACACACCTGAGACCTACACTTTCTGATCAATGGGACTTGGTTACCTGTGCACACACTATAGTACTATATATATGGTGTAACAGCCACAATGTCAGCACCGTAAATCAAGCATAGACGGACTACAACAACAAATTACTTTTTCTCATTTTTAATTCAGGGCAAAGAGATCTTTTCTTTATATGAATTATTAGCCCGGTATGCCAGGTGACGGTATGATATAATTACACCTCATCAAAAGAACTCGAGTCAGGAACACATTCCTAAGCCCGCCGCGATCACGTTCGCACTGCTCAGTTCACGTAGTAGCGATGCCCAGGTAAAATTTCAGGTAACAAGAGGATGACGGTCGTGTATGTAGATTTTTAAATCACACAGGTAATGACAGTTTTAGATATCGTATAAGATACTCATTTTTAAAGTGTTTAAACTTCCCAAGTCATTTTGTATCCAAATAAAATGAAACACAAACTATATGAATACACAGAATAAATGTTCCTGCAGTGTACACATTTGTCAATAAAGGTCCCGGATTAAGATTTGAAGCTGACTCGAGCAGTAAATTATTGACTGATTAAATGCTCTGCTAAACACCGACCAATCTGTATGCATAATAACACAGGGAAAATTTCCACATTCCAGCGAGACCTGAACTCACGTTCACAATCATGACTTCACTCATCTTCTATATATGACGATGACAAAGGATAATTTTAAAATATGAATGAAGGGATAATGATCAACCAACTGCCACAGCCAGCTAAGTGTAGACGGCAGTCACGTTCACACTTCTAAACATCACCTTAGTGGACTGGACAAGTTCAGCCCGCCTAATTATACAATAACACTGCTACACCTAACCTTAGTACACTGGAAAAGTTCATCCCGCCTAATTATACAATAACACTGCTACATCTAACCTTAGTACACTGGACAAGTTCAGCCCGCCTAATTATACAATAACACTGCTACACCTAACCTTAGTACACTGGAAAAGTTCATCCCGCCTAATTATACAATAACACTTCTAAACCAAACCTTATAGTACATGTACACTGGAAAAGTTCAGCCTGCCTAATTATACAATAACACTTCTACACCTAACCTTAGTATATAAACACTGGATGAATTCAGCTTGCCAACTTTGTGATATTTAAGTGATATTTCCTATCCTATTTCAGTGACCTTATTTTTGTCTAGTTTTACAGCCAAATACAGCCTGCTTTCCTCGCAAAAGAATGCTTTATTTTCCCAAAATGAAGAAAAATTAGGAATATCTCCCCATTTCAATAAAAATAATGCTACATTTTCCAAATTCATGTAGGAACAGGCTCTTGCAAAAATAAAGTAGAAAAAACAGATATATGTTTCTAGTTAGCATGTATAATGCATGTTAATGTGTCCTTCAGCTATACAATCAACATATAAATACTGCATTTTTTATCAGAACAGTACATGGATCAAATTTCAAATAATAACATACAGTTTACATCCATTTAAGTGAAGTATGTTTTGTCAATAGAAATATATGGTTTCCATTTCTAACAGGATTGCTCATAATTACTTTTACAGCAATATTTTCTCCTGCACTGACTGAAATTTCATTTAATGATATGAAATATCATATATAAAGGATCAACAATTAATAATTCATTATGCATATTATCCTGTTGATAATTAAAAGTACTAATGTATTACTATAAGAACTATATCATGCCTAATTTGATTGGAGAACTGGACCCTCAATTTGATTGGAGAACTGGACCCCCCATTCGTCTTGCGGAATGGCTAGTGCCCGACAGTCGACCACCCATAATTCTTAACCACATGCATACATGCAAAAAGCTTATTACACAAGAACTTCTTTTTAATCCAGGATATTGAAATAGATGATTACATGTAAAAGCTAATTATTGATTTCAAATTCTGCAATATCATGCAGTGATGCAATTTTGTACATGGCCCGACTGTCACTTACAAACATAATCTACAGAGACACACGGCCCTGTCAAGGTATGTCATTCATCCCTGTGTACTGTAGTGCTGTGCAGTGCTCATCACAAACCGGAGCTCAAACAGCACTTATTCAAATTACCACTAGCCAGGTAGTGGTACAACCACAGAAAGCTGCCCAATACAACATTTAAATACCTTCTATGTTGTCTGAAATCGGGACCAGCTAGAAAACTGTCTATGATTATGTTAAACATGATTTTTTAATCTGTGCTGCGAGAGTTTACATGTACCAACAAAATATAGGTTAATATATACAGACAGCCATTAGCACTGGTCCAGAGCTGTCGGGTGACCCATAGCCCCAAGTACTAACAACACTTTCTTAAATCATTTTGGAAGATAACCTTGTTTACAAAACTGATTCAGTCCTGGTCTGTATAAAAATGCGCAACATATATCAATACAAGCTAATGATTAAGATGGGTATTTAAGAAGAGGATGGTTTGTACAAAAGCATTAAGTAACCAGTAGCTCAGTAAACCATCCAATACCAATATTATAAT